GCACGCATGCGCTTCACCGACTGTCGCATGCCCTCCCCCGAGACGAAGAGGCAGAGCCCTGCGGGCGGAGCCGGCTCAGGGACCCGGGCACCGCCGAGCCCCCCACCCTGCCTGGGTCTGGCAGCTGGAGGGCAAGGCGGGACGAAGGCTTGGGGAGCGGGCCGGGAGCGCGCGATGGCTTCCGTGGAGCAGTGAGGATCTAGTCCTTGCGAGGAGTGCCAAGACTCTCTCCCTCCCGACCGCCCAGAATCCCCGCGTTGGCTCCAGGAAAGGCCCCATCCCGGTCTAGGGTGGGCAGGGGAACCGGGTGGAGGACGCTGGCAGCCTCCACACCGCCCGCTCTACCTGCAAAGGCGTAGAACATGGACGCCGGCCTCAGCAGGTAGTCCCTCTTCTTCCCGAAAGACAGAAGTGCGCATATGGAGCCCATGATGACAAAGCCCAGGCTGAAGATGGCGATGGCCGCCGCCGAGATGCTGTACTCTGCGAAACACGCGGAAGCCCACGGCTCAGGACCCGCCTGCCCGGGAAGCTCGCCCAGGTGGTGGTGCCTTTAGCAGGCTGGTGACAATCCATGTGCCAGGGTCCCTGCCTCCCGTGAGAACCGGGCTAGGGAGCCTGCGAGCTCAGTGAAAGTCCCCAGTGGGTATAGAAGGCAGGAGGCCAGAGGACTTGTCACTGCTGGCACAGTGCACCCAAACACAAGGCCCCACCAGGTGGCGCCTGGGAGGAGGTGGCAGGTCTAGGTCTAGAGCAGGGCCCTTCGGTGGAGTGGCTGCCTGGGGGCACGTGGTGGCTGGGCTGTCCTAGGACCATGGCGACTAGGACCTGCGTGGTCTGTTCCCCTCCGGGTGCAGGAGGATCTGTGCGCGGGTTACTGCGGGTGTGCCCCATGTGCGAGGGACGGCCAGTGTGTGTGTGCACGTGTGCGTACTGGTGCATGCCCCGCGGGTGAAGGCAGTCGCTGTGTGGGGGTTACCGTGTGCATCCCACGTGAGGCTCTCTGCGTGCCTGTGTGTGTGCCCCACGTGAGGACCTGTTGGAATGCCTGTCAGTGAGTGTGTGTCCAATGTACAAGGCACCCTCGGTGTGCATGTGTCAGCACGTGTCTGTGCACACGCACTGTGCGTGCACTGTCCAAAGGGGTTTGCAGGAGGGTCTGCACTCAGAGGGCGACTCTGCCCGGAGAGCCATCCACCTGGAAAGGCTCTCTCCAGATGCTCTTGTGGGTGATTTGCAGGGAGGGGCCCTCAGACTGTCCTGTCTCGCCCTCCAGGCCTTAGGAGCACTTGGCCTGTGCTCCCTCACTGCACCCTCCCTCAGACTCTACTGCAGCTCAGGAGCCTACAGGAAATCTCTCTTTTACAATCCTCCCAGCCCCCAGGGGAATGGAGCCCCAGAGGCCCCCGGGCTCCTGGAGCTGGAAGACTGCTGTCACCCACAGACCCAGAGGCCGTGAGGTGACCCTGCCACTGCTCGGATGTGCCATGCTGGCGTAGGGCTTTTCTGCCAAAGCCTTTCTGGCTCTGCAGCATGTGACAGAAGCCCCTTCTCCACCCTGCGCCACCCTGTCCCCACTCCCCACAGGCTCACCCTTCTGGGTGGTGACTTCGAAGATCTCGGAGGTCTCGCCTGGGTTAAAATGCCTGAAGTAGGAACAGTTCTTCTCTGCAAAGGGAGAGACAGCCTGTGAGCTGAGGGAGGGCCTGTGGCCGGGACACACCCCCGGGGCCCGGAGGGGCCTTCTGGCCAGCTCTCCGCCAGCCTCCTGAATCTGGGCCGAAGCATCATTCCCTGACCTTAGCACCGCACTTCAGGATAGCGGGCTGCACAAGAAGCTGGATGTTTGGGGAGTGAAGGCCGATGAGGCAACTGGGCTGATGGCATGTGGGCATGGAGCCCCTTAGGCCGATGGGGCAACTGAGGCCCAGGATCAAGTCCCTTGTCAGGGTTCCAGGTACATGATTAAGGACCAAATGGCATTTCCCACTGGAGTCATTGTGGCCCCCCAGGGGACACTGGGCAACATCTGGAGACATTTGGGTGGCCTATGGGATGTACCTGATATCTCGAAGGTGGGCACTAGCGATGCTGCTAACCCTTTTCAGCACAGGATGGTCCCCGTAGCTAAGAGCGCTCCAGTTCTGAATGCTGATAGTCCCAAAGTTAAGAAACCCTGGAGCAACTCCGAATCGAGGCCATGTTTCTTATCAGAATCCAAGCCACCCTGACTCACTGGCGACCCTTGGGCACAGTGGTTTTCTGAGGCTTTCCAGGAGAGTCCCTGGCCCAGGCCCCTTAAATGCCCTGCAAAGGGCTTTCCGTGGCCGTCTGGATGAACTTGGGTGCTGGTGCAGAACCCCCGTGTGAAATCTGAATGTGTCCTCATGTCACTTCATCAGGACCTTCTGTACACGGGGTCTTCGAAATAGCCCAGGCTAGACCTTGCCCACGAGCTGCTCCGCCCCTTGAAAACGGTCATAAGAGTCAGAGGGGGTCTATGGACACTCTGCTTTCGATGGGAGGGCTGGTGAGGGGTTCAGCACAGAGAAATCCATGCTGATTTTAAATATAATTTCACTTCCCTCTTTCTCCTTTAGGCTCTCCCTTATAACTAGACATAAAATTGAAGTGTAGTTGTATTGTGACTGAATACAGTTTAATATTTTCACTCCTGACATAGGAAGTCATGAAATGGGTTATTTTATGTTGTTTCATGTTTCTTTTTTCCTTTTTTTTTTTTTGAGAGGTTTTTCGCTATAGAGCCAAAAAGACAGAGAGAGACAGAAAGCGAGAACTCACCCCCCAGGAGGGATGGCCACTCCACAATCCCTTCTCCTCCATTCTCCTCTCAGGATCTTGGGCACACACGCACACACACCAGGCGTGAGTTTAAGCCACCGAGTCTGGGACTCGAACCATGGTCAACTACATGGGAGTCCAGTGACATAGCCATTATGCTAACTGCTGGTCCCTTTTTTCCTTTTTTTGAAAAGAGATTTTTTTTGCTATAGGGTGTGTGTGCTTGCTGAGAGACAGAAAGTGAGAAATCATCCTCCAGGGAGATGGCCACGCCACAATCCCTTATCCTCCATTCTTTTCTGGGGATCTTGGGCACGCACGCACATATGCCTGGCGTGAGTTTCGAGCCACCAGGTCCACGACTCAAACCACGGTTGGCCGTGTGGTAGTCTAGCACCATGCCATGCCACTTGCTGGCCCCTGTTACACGTTTCTTAAAATAACTAAATTAGGTTACTTTTTATTTGAATGATGCCTTTTGTTGAATTCCTTTTCCTGTGGGTCCATGACCCTTAGGTAGAAAAACACCTCTTGGGGCCAGCCCATGGCATGGCATGGTGGCTGAGGCAGCTAGATCTCACATGACTGACCTCATGGTTTGAGACCCCACCCAGCAGCTTGAGAAACACACCAGTTACCTGTGTCTGTGTGTCCCCAAATCCTGAAAGGAGGGAGAAATGCAGAAGGGACCGAGGCATGACTGTTCCCATGGGAGATGCTTTCTTCCTTTCCCTCTCTGTCTTTCTTTGGCAGGCACGCATACCCGTTGGCAAGCTCACCCGAGAGACAGGGAGAGAGAAAGTGAGAAATCACCCCTGGGAGAATGGCCATGCCATCCACTCTCCTCGGGATTTGGGGCATGCACACACACGTGACCAGTGTGAATGTCAACCCTCCAGGTCCGGGACTCAAACAGTGGTTGGCCATATGGGAGTCCAGCTCCTTAACCACTACACCACCTGCTGGCCCCTGTGAGTTTACTTTTTCACCTCCAGGTTACATTTGAATGATCACAAGGTGATTGAGGCCTAGCTCCTTCTGGAGATATACCTGAGGTGGCACCAAGGCCGTCACTTCCACTGGGATTTAGGCTTCTTTCCATCTGATCCACATCACCTTACTGCCACTTAGGCCTGCGGCCTTCAGCCTTCCCCCCCCATCGAAGTTGTGTTGCCGCCTCTCCTGAGGCTGAGGAAGGAAATGACCCCTACAGATG